CGTGTGTAATACAGCGTGTGTTGAATCGTGTGCGAATGATGCAAAATATGTGCGAGTCTAGTGATCTCAGGAGATGCTCCCGCCCAAATGTAGAAAATACTATTCTATTGAGACTAAGGAAGTTATAAACAATGTTTATTTGACTCTCATTGAACGTGGTGCCAGCAAGCAAGCATTTTTAGAAGAAACGGCCACATTGACGAAAATTCCAACATCAACTGTATGGAAAATTGTGAATAATCCCATTTCAGTAAGGAAAAAAAGAAGCGATGCTGACATTTTCTCTGGCAGTTATACGACGAACAAAGCTTGCCTTGATATCTTAATTAGGAGGCTTGAAAAAGATGAAACCGGTGTTAAATGTGGCAGATCTACCTTATGGAAAGTGTATTCAACACATGGATTTTAGATTTAAAAAAATTGACAAAAGGCAAGTTTTAATGGAATCTTAGAATTCGGAAATGGCGACTGGAATATCTAGAAAAAATCAGAATTTACAGAGAACAACAAAGGCCAATTATTTACTTGGATGAAACCTTGTTCGAGACTTATGATACCCCGGAAAAGGGTTGGGTTGACTCAACTGATAAGTGTAAAACAAACGCGCCATCAAAAAGAGGTAAAAGAGTAACTATTTTGCATGCTGGCTCTAAAGATGGATGGAATCCAAATGGATTTTCTCTGTCTGCGAAAAATATTAAAGATACTTCTCTGGATTACCATGAAGACACCACCACTGATTTATTTGAAAGTTGGTTTAAAAATAAAGTAGTTCCAAACATTCCTCCTAATAGCGTCATTGTAATGGACAATGCAAGTTATCACAGTAGACAGTTGACTAAAACCCCTTCCTCATGTGACACAAAAGCAACAATCCAAAACCACATGTATACATGTATAATAACGATATTTATTTTCACGAAAATTAAATCAATTAATTGAGGTTCTAGAAAGCTTGAACCTACAAAAGGAATACGTCTGTGATAATTATGCAAAAAATCTAGAGCATACAGTTTTAAGGCTTCCACCTTACCAATGTAGATTTAATCCCATTGAACATGTTTGGCACCAACTGAAATCTGCCATTCGTCGTAACAATGTTTTTCCCCGTGTTAACTCCAATGTCCACAAACTTATAAAAACCCAAGTTTTTAACATCCCTCCACAAAGTTGGGCAAATTCTGTTAAACATATAGAAAAAGCAGAACAACAGGCGGTGATAGCGTTAGTGATACTGATATATTATGTGAATAATTTTAAGTAATTTAAGTAATGAAAATAATTTGTAATTTTATTTTAGATTTAAACCTAAATACATACATAAATAAATAAATATTGTTTAGTATCTATCTTTCCTAACACAACCCCAAATAATTAAATTCTAAGCAAAGTACGGACCTGTTCGGCCATATTTCATTCTTACAGCTTGCCCGGGTCTTTCCTTAATTCGTATCAGTTAGTCACTTTCTTATATCTATGAACAGACTTTACATGTACATTGAATTGTTTGAAAATGTTTTGTAAAAAAAATATGCTTAAATAACTGATCAATAATAAAGGACGTGTATAGTTAATTCAATACTTTCTACTAATCCGTAAGTTGCAGTTTAGGCGCAAATCGCAGTTTCGATCCAGGCCAGCGCCGTAATCACATCCACGCGATCAGTTAACGCCCTAAACGTTAACATTTGCCGGGACGCGTTCGCCAGACTCATTCCAAGTGTTATTCGGTTTAGGAAAAAAGCACATTAAACGAATATATTGCGAATTTCTCGGGTAAATGGAATAATGGCGAACGAGATTAACGTGATAGAGCACGGCAGCAAAGCACCACGATTTTCACAATAATGGCCGTTATTAAATTACCTTTTAACATGCACACACATATACGGGAGATCCCGATTTTGCATTTCGGACTTGTCGGCTCTCTCTCACGTGTTCTTCGCTTCACACACGGCGCTGCCTGCATATTTTAGTTATTAAGTTTGTTTTTTTTTAAACTTCCACAGGCTAGTGTAATAGTATTTACAAAACTTTTGGATTCCTCCTAAAGCGGTTGTTGTTGAGTCGAACACACTAACGTTTCGTTAAACACCCTGTTGGCTTCTTCAGACGTTAACTTAAACGTTAGCAAGGTCGACTCAACAACAACCGAACCAGAAGTTTCGTAAATGGTAAGTTTGTACTCTTACAAATTAAAATTGGCCCTTGATAGATGGACGAGTTACCTCGTAAATCCAATAAAACACAAATATACACGCATACACAAAAATTAGGACTTTAAATGCTGCTATATGGAATCCTAAAAAAAGGAAATGGGTTAACATAAAGATAAGTCCGGGCATGCTTAGTTTCCAAAATACAAAATGTGGCGTTGGGTCATATGTTGAAAGAGAATAAATGTATATTGTTGCAAGACCAATAACTAACTTATTCTTCACTAAGGTAGTTCTTTTGATAATATACTTAAAAAGACTATTAAGGGAATTGACCTGATGACCTGTGAATTAGTAATTAAATATATTCACTTACAGAAATGAAAATAAATGTTTCATATATTTTTTCTACTTATTTATGTATCTACAGTAGTATGGCAATGTTCTACTAAATTTTACATTAACGATTCCTGTTTCATTTTTTTTCTAATTGTCTAATTGACATTTTGTATTCTCATACCATCTATGTTATTTTGCAATAAAAAAATTAATAAAAATGGCACATTGTACATGAGCAAATTAACAAACATGAAATAGAAATGACGTTTTAGAATTGTTATATTGATTAAATGTTATAATAAATAATAATAATAATAAATAATAATAAAAATATTTTGTTTTAAAACCCGTTTTTACGTAATCAGCTAGCAATAGAACAAAAAAAAAAGAGTAATTACTTTAATAAAACTACGAAAAAGTATTGTAGAATACTATAAGTTTTATCTCCGCATTATTTAATAGTCTTATAGAAAGCCCTTGCAACTCACAGAGGGAAAACCTCGGAAAAACTGCTCACTCAAAATTTTTAAGAATGTTTCGCCTATAAGTGACCTCAGCGTTCAGGAGGTCAATCTGGTCGCCTTTCTTAAACTTGGAATAATATTATATAGAGTGGCACTTTTCTATAAACGTAAAAAGTTTTAAGGTTTTGATATATTTTATTATACGAACGAGTCCGTTAAAAAAAGTACCTGCTTAAAATACTCAACGTGTAATTTTTTGAAAGCAAAGATGTGAAAGCTGTTTTTTTTTATATAGCGATACATTAAATTTATGCAGCAGAAAAGATAAGAATATCAATTTAGATACAAAAGTGGCCGGAACAGTCAGCAGTCAGCAGTCAGTGCACCAGTGTGGTAAAAAATACGGGTTACTGCGAGGTTAAATCCTATCTAGCGACGACAAAGCAGCTTATCTCGATGCCTGTATGAATGTATATCTCCATCGACGACCTCTGAATAAACAACTGTTGAACGGTATTTCATCGTCTTATTTTAAATTTAATATGAATATTTTTGCCATTATTATTCATTGTCTCGCTCAGAGAACTTGTTTGTGGACCGTTAGACTGTCAAAAAAATGCGAACTCCGAATTGAATTATTGCAAAGTTAAGCGTCGCCCAGCAAAGCAAAGCTCTATGAACATGAAAACAAGACTGGCACCTGCCTTACTTCATATAAAATAGGCTGGCATAATTATCATTAAAACAATCAACTTGATATGATATATGCAACGTACCATAAGAAAATGGCGAAACCGGCACACCACAGCTGAGTTTTATTTTTAAATAATAGAAAAGGCGATTGCAAAATTTACATCGAGTTGAATAACCTTTGTTGGGTAACAACTTTTAGGCAAGTAGTTTGTTACTGGCTTGTCTATTGTTAAGACTTTGAGATGCCGATGAGTGATTTGTTTTTTTTTTTGTTAAAGCAGCAATAAGGAAGATCGGCAAAAGATAAAAATTACAAAGGCTTTTCATTCGTTGCAATTAGGTTTGGTAAACCACAGCGTGGCACTCACAACTAGCAATTTGGTTTAAAAGACCAAGAAAATAAAAACTATGCGTTGAAAACATACAATTTGGACGGTTGTTATACCTAACACTATTTCTGGTAAAAATGATTTTCACCTCCATAGTGTGTGAGAAGTATAAATAAGATATTATACAATTTAAAGTTGTTTTAATATATTTCAATTCTTGGTGCAACGCAGCAGCAAAAACAATCCAGTGAGAAAACCTAAAAAAAGTGTTATGTCCAAAATTCTTTTAATGCAGGAAATAAGCGAATAAAACATCAGTTGGGTCACCTAATGCAATTTAAAATAATTCCGAATCGAAATCAAGTTTTGAAGCAATTTTTAAAATTTTATAAATAATCAATTAACAACTCTAGGTACCTAAATCCTTTTAATACGTGGTCTATAGCTAGATATACTTACTCCTTCAGATATTTCCAGCCCATGTGTTTTAAAGCTGACGAGTCAAATATCGACAATCCATTAATTTTATAAGCTTTTTATTTTATGTTTTTTGTTTATTATGTGTACGCTTCTCTTGATTTTTTTTTAGTTCGCAACAAATTTAATAATATACAAAGTAGCAACAAATTGGACATATTTTTTAACCCAAAATAAATACATTAGCAGGGAGCAGTTTTAAACCCTCGTATTTTAGGGGATGAACAGTCTGATATATCGGCGACGAATTACTAACGCAGTCAAAAACATTAGTCTACGAAAAGTTCCACGTCTCATACCGCCGTGTGCGGGCTTTAGTATTTACGGTGTAGTTTTGCAATTATTATTTTTTCTAAATCATATACATACTCGCGTCTTTTCAAAATTATTTTTTGAAAATTCCAACGTTATATTACAAGTAATATCCCGAAAGTTCACGCAAACTGCGTTCCAATGAAACTTTCAACATGTACACAACGTCAAAAGTTCAATAAAGGAAAAAAAAATCCACAAGATAGTATAGATGAAAAATGGATAATTACCGTTTGAAATGCTCTCGTATTCGATCTTCTCTAATATTATCGGGTAAATTTCCTACCCACAAATGTCTAGTCTCTCTGACCATTGTGCCCTAAACACCACATTGAGGAATTTTTGGTTTTGGGCGCACAAACACTATTTCACAAAAAAACACAGCCGTTTCAACTTCATTTTGGCGCACTCCGGGGTTACTCCGTTTTCGCCACCACTCGTTTTACCACATCACATCATAGCGACACCCACCAGATTTTAACACCAATTTTTTTGTTGCACTACCCCTCAATTTTTAACACTTTTAAAAAACCCGGTTGCGGGGCTTTTTCACTTCTTTTTCGCTCTATCTACACACAACATACTGCTAACGCGACTTCGAAATGCTTATGGTGTTCTGCGCTACGCCTTGTGTCAGCCCGCCGGCCCTATCCACGAGTTACGTTGCGCGATAACTGTTTACGCCGCGCGGCAGACGAAGAAAACTCACGAAACACGTCGATGAATCCTTCGGACGGTTTCGTGTACCGCGATATACCTGTCCTTTATATTTTGTCTCCCTCTGCTGGACCTTTCGGTCGCTTGCAACACTCTATTAACTTACCTGAAAACATCCACTGATATTTTCTATTTTTGTTTAAGTAGCAGCATAATATTTGTCTGTCGAGTTAAATACAAAAAAAATGACCATTCTTTTATTTTGCACGTGGTATATTACTTCTTTGTGATGTAAATTTTCAAGTTATTTGGAATACCTAATTAGAAAACAGTTAGTGAAACAGTATGCATCCATAAATCTTACATATTATGTATCCGGTTATTTTTACTAAAATGCTGAGATTCCAGATTGAGATTTCTTAAGGCAATTGACTGTTAAGTAAATAGTTATTATTATAATAATGGATAATGGCATACGTCAGTGGTCAAATCTGGCTACCTACGTTTAAATTGCTTTAAGGACTAAGACCCCGTTTGCTTTACATAGTTCTTAAAAAATCTGGCGAGTTTAGAATTTCGTACGTATGAATTTTATAAAATAAACGTAAAGGCCTAAAATAAAACGGCTGGCAGCGTGCTCCTAACTTTTTCAGCATGAGTAATAGTCCGTTTTAATTGAAGCTCCGACCGGTTCTACTACCCGTTCGGTGTGAAATAAGCTTAATCGACGTTGCCGTCATTTAAAGTTTATCCCGAATTGGTGCGTTTTTTTCCTCGTTTGGGTAATGAAAGTGCGACAAGATATCAAAGGAATAAACGATAAACTACGATTTTACAAAGATAAGCCTTTAAATACTTATTTTTAGACAATAAGATCAATTTATTAAAGAACTACTAAAACAACTGGGGTCCTGACAGGCAGTACCTAGGTGATTTATTTGTACGTATACCATTGGTTTTCGCTGGCTCTGGGATTAGTATTAAAGTAGATTTAAATGGTACGTTTTGCTATAGGCATGTAGCAGGTAATACCTAATACTTATATTAAATGTGTTTCAGCATTGGCCGTCTACCTTAATTTTCTTTTATCCCTCGAATGTAGTTCATGTGGCAACGCTGCGACGACCGTATTATTCCACAACGCTATTATACAAAATTCAATGGATTCTAGCACAATGGTTATTCTTTATAAATGTATCCTTACTAATCTTTTGTGGAAATTGTTCTGATGGAAACAAGTGCATTCCAACTTATTATGGTTTAAGTAATCATGGTAAACTACATAGGTAGATATAACCACCACAGGAAAAACCCAATTGGTATGGGAATACCTACATTTATACATACTAACACAGGTAGGTCCAAATATTTCACATTTTGGTATGGTTTTCCATATTCAAATAATTCGCTTTGATAATAGGTATGTATTAACTCCATATCCACGTACAAATACATACTACATATTTTTCTGTTAGCGGACACATTCTAAGATAACTATTTCAGCAATTCAAACTACATTTGTTGCAACTGTAGTTATTTATATCGGTACAAAAATGATTTGGAAAAGTATTTGCCCACTTTTGATAAAAACCGTGCAAGTTAATTATCGAGCTTCTGCGGGTGCCATCTCTCAGGACAAAATTTAAAGGAGCTCGTACTTATTTGAAGAAAAGAAAGATCCAATTTTAAATGTTTCTATTTTCCGTTAGATGGCGCACGGTTTTGTGTGGAAGAGTCATTACTTGAAATTATCAAGTAAAAAAATCATTAAAACAAATTTCATACGGAAAATCAAACTAGACAAAAATTAACTACAATAATATTAGTAGGCTCTTACATTTTATAATGTTCAATTTTATTTATTTAATTCATGTTTGCCAGGGTGGCGTGTAAGTTTCTCGAACTACATTATAGATGGCTCTGAAGTCGTTTTCTTTACCGCCCAAGAACGCGTTTCTTTGTATAAATGGTCAAACATTTTTCATATCGGCATCGCTTCTCGGCCTTTTGGCTAAGATCAAAGTGTAGTATCTGTTCTTATCAGCTTAATATCTGATACGCCCCGCATGCGGGGCCAGTATATTAAACTGATTTTTGGAAATTGATGGAGAATTAGGGGCTTGCTCCGCCTCCATCGCGGGTTGGCTCGGTATTGCAGTACCGCCGGGATCGGCCCATTTTAGGAAATTTAAAATTAAGTACTTAGGAAAATTACAAGAGAACTGTGTGGAAGATGCAAGGTTTTTAGCGATGTGAATCAATTAAATGCGTCCTCTGGTCAAAACGATGGTAGCCGAGCACTTAAAAGGCTCGTCAGCATACAACTGTTCCCCAACAAAGGTGCGATACTTGTTAATCTTGTCGGTTCTTTTTTTAGCGTCTTCTAAGTCTACATACACCACTTGTTCCTTGTTTTACTTTCTTCTGCTCTGGACTGTTTGTATTCAATTTTGGCTGGCATGTTTTAATCCGTCCATGTCATTGGTGGTCTTCCCGTGGGCCTTCGAAATTCGTATGGTGTCCAAAGTAGGACTGATTTTTGGCATTTGTAAGTTTCTTCCCTGGCAACATGTTCTGTGTATTCCCCATTTCAGTCTTAGGGCTATGTACACTACATCCGTTACCCTTGTTCTCTGTGTTATCTATGTATTTGTCTTCTTATCTTTAAAAGATATTGGCAAGATGAATGCGTCAAAAACTTTAGTTCTTAGATGTTCCCACAAATGGTTTATTTTCAATAAAAAATCTAGTTTTAATTTTTATTAAAATTTTTACATTTATCTTTTTTATTATTTATACACTTTAATTAGTTGTTTGGTATTTCAACCCTTTACATTCCTGGATGGGATTATGTTGATCAGATTGGATTAGTTTTATATTGCAAATAAAACGTCACTATCAATTACTTTGCAAGTAATTTATTAGGATTTAAGCACAAAAAGAACAAAATAAAAAAGGAAAATGTATCAAAAAAAATTTACTCATACAAAGAAATTCAGATATTACACAAAAGTTATTTTCAACGTATAACGTAAAAGCGTTTTACATCGAAGGGGTACATAGGTTACAGAAACGTTCTCTAAACTATAGGTACACCTATAATTCTAAAGATTTTCAAGATGTCAACGAAGCATAATAGTGTAATTCTACCATATAACGTAGAGAAGGCCATATTTTGTTTAGAGAGTAAAGACGTTTTTCTGAACAGAACGGAACTTAATTAAATTATTTACAAGTGCAAAAAACTTAACCTAAACGAAACATAAATCTTTAATACTAAAACTTTAGTAATACATATTGCAGTTGTACAAAAAAAACTTATAATATATTATAAACAAAGTATAAATGATAATAATCTGCTCAAATGGCTATTCTCTTTATTTTTTTCCACTTAAAATGCAAAAGGACTTACATTTTTAATAAATACTTTGTTATATACACTTAGTAAATAGACTTTCTGAAACAGAATTTTTGGGGAATGTTAACTTTGGTATAATTAGGTTGGTAAAGTGGTAAATTTAAATAATATACAGGATATATTAATAAATATCTAAATCTAAACAGTAGCGAAAATTAACTGAAAGGACCTTTCGAAAGTTGCTTAATTTCCGTATTTGTACCGGCATTCCCTTTTTGAAGTATTAAATTAAGCCACCTTCATAACCCTTTTCGAATGTACAAAAAAAAGAGAAAATATCACAAACACACAACAGGTTGTATTCAGAAAAACGTGATGCATAATAACTGACGTGCGACACTTATTCCACAAATGTGTTATTTTAATCTACATCTCGTATTATACACATCAATTTTTCTTTGCTAAAGACGTGGATAAAACCATTAACTACATCTAATTTGATTGTATTTGTGCTAAAGTGGAAGAAGTATCCCGTGCTGATTATAAATACTGAAATCTCGATCTTTATCGATCCTTCGAAACGAATCACTTGCCCTAATTGAAAAAAAAAAGATTTACAAGACTTTGGAACAATGCGATAGATGTCTTGCATATCGTAGCTGAACCCTTGAAAATAAAAACTGTATTTACTTCAGTGGTATCGTCGCATTGTATGCGTTATAACTCGAAACGTTTTCTTGAATTGAATACGGGATTTTTTATTCTGAAATTTTTAAAACACCGAATTTAAAGAGCACAAAAAAAATATCGAAATTATGCTGAAGGTTTGACTACCACTGGGCAACGTTGAAGGAGACCATGTGCGGTTTAGAAATTTCCATTAAAGATTTCAGGCCCTTTTTTGTATATGCCTAACTCGAAATTAACTGTCAATTAGAATTCAACGTAAACACAGGATTAAATAGTGAACTAACTAGGTTCGCCAAATCTTTAACATAACCACTGCATTGATAATGACCCAATCTGAAAATCGACGAAAGTTTTAAATTTCTTATTTTCAGAAGTGTGCAACCTGTCAAGAAACCTCATTGGGCGATTATTTTGGAGCACTTAAGGCGGTGCCCAAATTTTTAACGTTTGGACATATACCTAGACATTGCAGGACCGTTTGAAATGAAATTTAAATACCAATGGCTAGACAGTACCTGAAAAATAATTCTTTCAAACGTAGAAATAATACGAATCATCCGATGCAGATACTTTTTCCTTAGGTCGAGAAAACGCCCAAATCTCTTTAATCCATCGCGTCTTAATGCTGATACAAAATCCGAGATCTAATTACGTTTCCTACAGCGCTTCCGTGTTAATCTTTGAGAAGCTCCCTCAATCTCATGATCTCTTTGTGTGCCTGGGCCAGCTCACCCTGTAGAATCAGCTCCTTCTCCCGCAGCCTCTTAATATCCCTCTGGCAACTCTGAAAGAAAGTTTATTTAGCACATAATTAGATTCTTGTAATCATCTTCCTGTTCAATCTTGGGAGACGTTTTGGTGTTACATTAATACCAAACAGTTCTGTAATTTTTAATTTCATGATAATAGTTCTTAACATTTATTTATTTATGTCACTTATAATAAGCGTTCTATTAGTTGTAAGAAATTTCTGCATATTCTTATTTTTACACAATGTATTTTTTTTACATACCACATTCTGCCTGAGCAAATCTAATTTGTCGCACTTTAACCTGGTTACTTCTTGAACCAAAGCGTCTTGTCCAGTTTCTGCCCGTCCTCCGGGTGTTTCGCTACCGGGCCTGTCTTGGCAGACGCTGCAAGCCTTGGCGGCTGTTTCAGCTGAAGACATCGATTCGAGACCTAAAAGAATAATTTGAAGTCACTCCTTTACATATGTTTTTCAAGAAACTTACCAGTGTCGCTGTCGACATAACCTCCTGCGAGATGCTCCAAATCCTCCGAAGTAAGAGACGAGTCGTCGCTGGCTTCGCTAAGTGCTGGCTGATGGGAACCTGAAGGAGGTGCGTGGGCCGTGAGATCTGGCGACGAAGCCGTCGACGACCTACCGCTACCTGTACCAGATCCCACACTACTGGTTTTCTTGCCATTGGACACAATCGATGATTTAGAAATAGATCGTCCACTCTGCAACCAATTAAAATTTGAGAAATTCACTTTTTTTTGTTTGGGTTAGAGCTCTCGGAAACAAGAGGAAACATCTGGAGTACTAGAAATCCATTAGCACTTCGAATAATATTGTTGATTCTAATTTCCCTTCTCGTCAAGCTCTCTAGAATTATAGTGGGAATAGAACACCAAGTTGACAACCACAACTAATAAAATGTTTTGGACGTGCCTATCAGCAGCTTCCAGCACATTTTTCAGTTTTTTCATGTAATGTGAGGTTTAACAGTGTGGACTTTGAAACTCAATGCAGTGAATATATAATGAGAATAATAACCTACAACATACATGAAATCACATAAAACTGACAAGGCTTGGCTAGAAATTCACCCAATAGAGGTTAGACGACTGATGCGCTACTTGGTACTTGGCAATTTTAACAGACGTCTGAGAATCAGAGATCATAAGACCCTTGATGAGGAAGCAAATAGACGCCACAGAAATGTTGGCTCAGCATGCTGAGAATTTTCTGGTACAGTCAATATTTTGGGAGATGAAGGCGAAAAAAGGCACAAACTCAGAACTGACCACTACAGTCCCAATAAGGAATCAGGTTTAAAGATTAAAACTAACCGATGGCGTTGACTCGGATATGGTCGGTTGACTGGCCTTTTTCGATAATTTGTCGTGATTGTTTGGTGCAAGATTGTTGTCGCTCTGACTTGATTTAACTTTGGCTGCGCTCCATGCTTTCTTCACCGTGTCGATGAAGCGGGAGCCGGGGCCGGAGTCACCTTTGGGCGTTCCAGGAATTATTGTAGCGCTGCTTCCAAGAAACTCTGCAGTTTTTTCCTGAAAAGAAAGATTGCCTATGTGGGTTACTCCAACGCAGTTGAACTATCCAATTTAGCATAAGCTAAATCAAGTTAGGAGGATATATTGAAACGAAGAATGACAAAAATCAAATACCAATGAAGAATAATAATACAAAATGTATTACAAACTTAAAATTGCATAATCTCATAACAACCAAAATCATTTAAAAATATAGCTTATTTGATTTCCTTTACAATAGTGTTTAATATCAATCCCTTCAAGATACCAGGGAATATTTGCTTTTCTAAGATGTTATGAATAAGTGTGTAAAAATGTTAAGTACCTTGAGCTCATCTGTGAGTGTCTGCAAAAGGGACGTCCTGGTTCTCAGCTCCAGTTTAGCGAACTTTTCTGCTTTGTAACAGGCGTTTTCTGCGTTCACCAACTTTGTCAACAAAAACTCCTTAAATTCGACACCGTGATGAAATATAGCAGGAGTGGGAAGAGTCGGTCCAAAGAAGGGCACATCGTCACGCGCTGTCACACTTACTTTGTACCTGAAAAACGTTATTTTAAAAAGTGGAAGTCTCATCGAACGTCAATTTAGTGTTTACCTAACACTACCACAATTTTAATATAAATATATATAACATTTTTAAGTATTTATAGCAGTTAATAAATTAATGGGTCAGTGGGTGGTTCCTATTATTAATTTCACAGTAATTGGTGTTTACTTGTGAAGTTTTATAGTTTTTCGTAAACCTTAACCACACATCAATTTTCCTTCTACCTTCTGAATGGTGACAAGAGAGAGGAAACATTACACAAGTTTGCATTTATTAATGCAAGTATTCAACATTTCAGGTAGTATAAATGTAAAAGTTTAAGGAAAATTATAAACGCAGTTTTCCCCGAATACCTATTCGCTTATTATGTACAAGCATAAAAATGATAAAATAGATAAAGGTATTTGTTATCACTCCGTTGATTGGATTAATAATTATTAGAAATTTGTATCATCAAACTTAAATTGTTCATCGAATCGTAGAGAATGAAAACGATTTGACTTGACGTTAGATGATTTGACTTTTAACTATGGCTCATTATTTTTAAGTTCATTAAACGTATCTTACAAAATACCTACCACAACAAATCTTCCTTCGTGAAACATCATTCTGAATAAAATTGGTTTTAAAAATAATATATACAACTAACCATATTAAGGAAAATAATAGTTTCAGATGTAATTTAAAAGTAAGTTTGCGAAGCACTTTCGTTTTGTCTCGTTGCAATAATTATTGCGTCTTTCTTTTCTTCTTTCGAGGCCCAGTCCAGTACCAAAATGACACTTTTTTCGAAATACACAAGATTTTTTTCTACAAATAAAAATTACACGAACCGAAAATGCAAAAATGTCAACAGCACTGATGCTAGAAAAATCCATTTTGTTTAAGGTATTAGGAACAATTGCATTAAAAAGACAGTGCAAAATCAATAAGTACGTATGAACAAACATTATACGTCGCGCAGATTATAGACACCATGCAGACTTTTTTAGTCTGTGAGAAAATAGAATCGCTTCTCGCAGAAGAAGGGTTTTTTGAAAAGCTCTTACCATTTATTCGATAAATCTCAAAACAAACTCAAACTCGATTAATTCTGTACAGTTGAAGAGTAAAACTGGCCAGATTGGGATTACTTCAAATAAACATAAGCGTCGTGAAAAATGAAATAAATTTCAGAGCAGCAAATATCTGGACCTTGGCCGGGATTTTAATTTTACATTTTTTTGAAGTCGGCTTCTAAACGAACATTTTTTTACAAACACTTTAACGCCATTTTTTTTACCATAAGCGGGAATTTTGAAAATGGTTTAATGTTAAGAATGAAACGAACCAAAAATAATACCTCAGAATATGGCAACAATTTAGCAAAATAGCAAAACTGCAAAAAAAAATTAGCCCTCAACAATTAGGTACCCCTATAGGTTGCTTTATTTAGAAATGATGACCTCCTCCTTCTCCCCTTTAAACTTAATCGCCACCTTCTAAGACAATTTTATAAGCGTCTTCTATTCTTAAATCGGAGAGCTTCCTGCTTTTTCTGCTAGATCACCCTTTCTCTCGTTTTCAAAAATTCTTATTCTTATTATTGACGCATGGGAGCAGGTAGCAGTGTTGATAATTTCAGTACAGAAAATTAACCAATTAAAATTAAAGGATATTAAAAAAATAGATGGCCCATCGCTATTGCCCATCTCAATGGCACCAAACAAGAAAAAAATTGTTTTTATTACTCCAAGCAGAACTCAACATTTTTTCCATCAAGACTTGAATCGAACTTTTTTTGAGAATACCAATGAAGAAAGCTGAGAAACATCGAATATATAAAGCAGGCATAGTTTCACGTGTTTGGTTTGTCATCTTCTACTATTACGACACAATTTTTAAATTTTCTTCCGGTGCACGTTTTTAACAAACATGTCGACCTGATTTTTCTTTTGTCCCTTAGAAACCGATTTTCCCGATCAGCCACACCAAAACTTTTAACCTCTACGCCCGTTGAACTTTGCCGGTATTTTACAAACATGCACATCGTCCCGCTTTTCATGAGTTACCGTCCCCAATAAAATTTTATTGTCGGTTCTCATTCATTCGGAAAACTTGGCACTATCTTCGTCGTGCGACGCGCACGTTCCCTATTTGCGTTTCACTCACCTTCCCCGATAAAACGGAACTTTGCCGCTTAACGTCGAAACTATTTTGTCCATGGTTTCACTTACCTAGTGTTCGAAGTATTCGGATCTATGACTTGGACAACAATGAAGGCGTGGAGAAAATGAGACGCGATCATGTCGGGCGAGAACGGGGTATTTTCCTCTTGAAAAATTATCGCCACTATGTCGTTGCCTATGTGCCGCTTTCTCTGAAGCTGTTGGGGATCGTTGTCTCTGTACGGCAGCAGTGTCGATACGTGAAACATGATTTCTCGTTCTTTAAACACCTGTAGTAGTAAATATAATGCGATAAGAAAACTGATTGGGGACCAAACGGTCTAACATACACAACAGAATTATTTAAAATACAAAGGAATATAAATATTTATCGAAAAAAGGAACTAGCCTACGAGAAATAAATAAAAGCAGTAGTAATCTGGGAATGATTAAATTAAAATTTTGTCCATATAATGCGATCCAATAATAGCCTATTATGCAGTAAGTTTGATAAACTCGATTTTAGTCATGAGGGTGCTTAATAAATTAATAATAAACGGTCCCTGCATAATTTGGTATTTTAGCGTATAGAGTAGAAAAAAGGGATTTTGGATTAAATTTTAAAATTTCTCTGGTTAACTTTAACACATCTCAATTAATTAAATTCCTTAATTATCCATTTCTCATGTTTTTTTATTGCTGTATTGAAAAATTATAACCATGTGACATATTATTTTTCTACTCAGATCTGATCAGAGAATCAGAAATAGGACAGGCTGACGAGCGAAAATATATCTTCAAATCGTTGGATCAAAAAGAAAGATAATTGAGCCAAAAGATGTAAGAAGCTATAACTTTAACTCCGTGGTTCAGTTATTTGAAAAAACTGAAAAATGACATGGTATTTTCCATTTATTTTCATTTGGAAATAAATGGAATTTTAAGTTTCTTCACATGACGATATAGCCCGTATCGAGAGCTAGAACTTGTGCTTTTAAGATTTTAAACATATTATACGGGGGTGGTTGATTAACCGTAAATGAAAATGGGTGAAAAATACGCTTGTTCGATATAAACAGTATTGTAGACCTGGTCGAGAGCTATGACTTCTATGTTTTGAAAAAAAGTATAGTAAAAACTTAATTTCGGGTTATTAATATGACATTTTAATTAACTTTTTAGGAGAAAACCAAAACAACAGGAGTTTAATTTAACATTCTATTGCAGCTTTTAGTTTTCCTAAGTTAAAAAACTTGAAATAAAATATTTAACATTTTTTTAACCAATGCAATTTTAATTTAGTTTGTGTTAAATAACGTGCAACAAACAACGTGTCAATTCATTTCCCCAAGTAGGTTATTTTAGAAGCGCACTGTATAAGTTCACTTATAAAATGCAAGAAGAAAATAATCGTTATTAAAAATAAATATTGCGTCCCTACCTCGTAGACGGCAGTATCTCCCGTGTGTCCGTTTTGAATGTCCAACCCGCCCCTGTAACCTTTGTGGTCCTTGAGCTGTATCCTCTGACCCAATAGGCTCAAAAAATCATCAAATGCCGGACTCGTGACCCTGTTGCAAAACAATTCCTCCTCCGTTGTCTGGCCGAATTGTTGATACAGCACGCCGAACTTGAAATTGGTTACTAGAACATGTTCGTCGTATTGTGCTATCAGTTGGGACGACCTGGGATGCAGCACCTGCAAATTAAACCACAAATTATGGTTTTTATTACAAAATCATCCATAAGAGGCAAGTTTTGCGGCATGCAAGAAGAATTTCGGAGTGAAGGACAAGATATATGAGAGAAATCGAAGAAATACGTGCTAAAAACGTCCCCATCATATATTTAAATGAGACCTAGTTTGATAGCCACGATACCGTCCAGAAAGGATGGACTGATGGTGACAACAGGAAATGTTTGTTGAATGTGCCAGTTTCGCGGGGATACTACATGCGGGCTCTGAAACTGGTTGGGTAGATAACGCGTTTTTGCTTGACTACCACGAAAACATGACAGCAGACATCTTTAAAAATTGATTTTCTGAAAAATTGCTTAACAATATTTCAACAATAGTGTTGTCGTGATGGACAACGCCGGCTACCATTTTGCACAAGCCCATATCATTGCAATTTTAATCCAACCGAACTGATATGGAGACAGCTGAAACCCAAATAAGAAGAAACAACACCACGCTTCTGATGTAGAGAAACCCAAGCGATGTAGATGTGCGATTAGACCTTCATAAAATTTTAGCAAACATAAATACCTGATTATGTCGTAAAAACGGTATATCATTACGAACTAAAGCAGTGTTACTATTCAAAGGTCGAAAACAAGATCCAAGAAATAATAATTAAAAAAAAATGAGACTTCTCCAACTTACGGGTATGAAATTTTCAACGTTTAGTTCGTCGTTGAGTAGCTTGGCCATCCTTGCTGGTCCTGGATTTGGGCCAAGGTACGCCGATGGTACGATTTCGTGCTTGGTACCGGGCCTCAATCTGAGCAGGATCCTCGTGTGTTCCTGTTGAGCCACGTTTTCAGTTTTGAAAGATAGCAATACTGGGCCTAGGTTTTCGTCGGTGCCGATCAGGTTAGAATGTTCCTGGAAAAAATATATATAAAACAGAAATAAAAGTTGAACTGAGGTGGCTTTTACTTGATAAAAATCCATTTATCAAAATAAATAAGAACTAAAAGTTCAGATTTTCACGAAATTATATATTATGACATGACAATTGTTTCGACAACACCGTGTCTTTATCAAATGTAATATTTACAAACTACCTGCTACTATATATACCGAAAAATGACCATAAAACCTTAATTAATATTTTAAAGTTTGTAACATTTGTCAAAATGTGGTTTAAAAATAGCTTTCAGAACTAATAACACAATAGAAAAATATTTAAAAAACAATAAATCGAAATGTCCAAAATCCCAAAAATCAGGGGTCTACAGGTTGAAATGTGGATCTTGTCCTAAAATTTATATTGGACAAACAGGTAGATAGTTCAAGAAACGCATTAACGAATATATAAGAACGTTTAAAAACAATAGTCTAGATTCTAATTATGCTACACACTTAAACACAGAAAAACACATTTTTAACGACAATATGGATATTTTACATACAGCCACAAAAAGTAGAAAATTAAATTTATTGGAAGCCATGGAGATTAACAAAATGAGACATTCAAATGTATTGCTTAATGATGAATTAGATTTATTTTAATTTCCTTTATTGAACTTAAATTCTCGCAACAACATTAATTAAGGTTTTATGGTCATTTTTCGGTATATATAGCAGGTAGCAGGCAGTTTGTAAATATTACATTTCATAAACACACGGTGTTGTCGAAACAATTGTCATGTCATAATATATAATTTTGTGAAAATCTGAACTTTTAGTTCTTATTTATTTTAATTTTCAGAAATAAAAGAGTGTAGCGGAAACTTGGGATTTACAATTCAATCTGAAAATCTAGAAATGTTAAATCATCCAAAGGTCGCAAAATTTTTTTATTAAACAGTCATATCGATTAATGGTGTGCAAGTTTGATTTTCTATTTAACACTGTCAGAAAATCGATTTGGTCGCTTGACTTTTTTAACCTTTTTTCCACACATCAAAACTGTCACTTATACACACCAAAACTGGAGCAAAACCAGAAAGTGAAGGAATTTGTAAATGGAGATTTGGTAAGAACACAGTGTAAATTATTTTTTGTTTGCTAAAATCTAGGACATTTTCATGTTAAATCATGAAAAAATATATATTTTTTTTGTCGCGAAATACAGATAGGCAGATAATGTAACTACATCAAAAGCACTATAAAATTTTTAATTTGAAAATTCGGTGTCCGTACAGACAGTGTGAACAAATTTTTATCAATTAAAAATGTACACCGAAACAAAATATTACGCGGCCATTTTTGGAAATCGGTGAATCTTTTAACAGTATGCAGTGCTTTTATAGAATTATTTATGCGTTAAATGCTCATTAATTGCAAACTTAAAGGAGTGAAATACATGTAACTGAAAATCTAGTACAAGTAAAAGAATTCCTTAAATGCTAAGTGGCAGTAAGTATTTGCACTTATTCCTCACAGTGTTCGTTTAACACAAAAAGAAGAAGATGTTGTCAAATACATTTTACTTAATTTAGATCAGCTCGGTACTATAACTTTTCGCATAACAGCATTTAAAATAAATAATGACATGAAGAAATAAGATATTTAAATTTTATGCTGCGCCAAAACAGTGTGGGATCGATTGGACTCGCAATTGCATATTGTTGAATGTTCACGAATGCTGTACGTTGTGTGTGAAATTAACGCATTTGACGAAATACTACAACTGGTTTCAAAATGAATCGATAAACACAAAATACATTATAAGCGAAAATTCGAATATATAGAATATAATCGTTAAGCTTTAGCCAAAGACCCTTTTCTGTATGTGCGCCACATTCTCGAATACATAACGAAACTAATAAAACATGCTCGCAAATTGCAAACGGTTCAATGGGTAAAGGAGCCCGGAAAGAAAAATAACGCTGAAAAGTTTCCTTTTCCATATATCAGCGGCAACTTTGTAACTCCGAATAGATATTAATCTCGAATGTATATGGTATGGGCTACTATAATGCAACAGTAAATACATTAGAATGAAAAACAATAGTGCATGATAGTAAATGTATTTACAATAAGGTATGTGTATTTACCCATTTTCTGTATACGGTATAAGACATCTGAAGAACATTAGTTATATACTAATTATTTATTAAGTACGATCATCGTGTTATATTTCGGTTGTCATATTTTAAAACAAACAACAATCGGAGATACTCGGAGCAAGATGGATAGAAAATTTAAATAAACTCATATACCATTCAAATAAAACGTCTCTAGACTCTAGATCGAATTTTATGTTAGCTCTATAAAAACACAGTACGTTTTTTTAGGGAAGTTTTAGACCCAAAAACACTTATCTATAAGGGAGACACTACCAGAAGAACGCAAGGCTGAATACTTAACAAAATAGAAAAAAATTCATTGCCTTATTCCATCTTCGCGATATCATCGCGGTTACGGTTAATTTTCCAGTTATGTGGGAAGATGATAGATATTATTTTATTATTAGCGACATGAGCATAAAGACCTATCTGAATAGCCTCCGGCAGCCTATACGCTAACATGCCGTAGATAATGATAATGGTTCTTGTAATCTTCTGCCGTATAGCTTATTCTAACGAAATCGTAAAAATTTTAAGATTCTTAACTCTTTGGTGTTTTGCCTTTATTTTAGATATGATGATTTAGAGATGATAGAACAAATTAAAAACGAGCTAATTTTGAAAACCTCGCGAAAAAGCGTTGAGACCATCTACCCGATAACCATTTGTGAAAAAGTCTGAACGGAAAAATTATTCAATTCTTATCGAAAAGTAGCGACAACTACGATGTTTTAAATGGAAGAATCTGTGTATTGTTTGATTTTGTTCTCCACCGCCTCCTGGATATACGCTGGAAATTTATAATTTTATACAAGGTGTTTAAAAAAATCATTATTTCATCGTCCTACACAAAATGGGCGAAAAGCGTTTTTTTCAAATGGACCAACCTTGTTGCGCTGGTTCCTGTACTTATACAGTAAGTTTTCTGAAATAAAAAAAAATGAAGTACTACTAGGAACACAATAAAACCAGATCCGATTTTGTTTCAGTTAATTGGCCGATTGATGTAATTAACGCTTTAGCGTTGGAGATTAACCGGATATTTAGTATCCTTCCAAATCGCAACATGTCTCTAATTTGTTAAAACGCAAAAAAAATCATTTTCCAGAGATCCGGCTACTGTCTGGAAACCGAAGCAAAGAATGCACGTCCGACAATAAAGCTTTTGTGAGAAATCGCACCTTAAATCCATCTTTTGTGGACTCGTCGAAGTTTTTCTCCGTCCACGTGAAGTGTTTGCCAGCACAACGTCTCTCGACGCCATCTAAATTAATAATATCTTTTGTTTCCTGGGATAAACATTCAGATTCGGAGTAGGGTAGACCGAAACCCGAACTATAAAGAACCTCGAGATTAAAACTTAAGACGTTTTAATGGAAACTTGAGATCTTTGTTGCCCGAGGATTTCATTTTCGCGCACTGCAAAAGAAGAATGAAGAGTGTCCGCGACATTTTACTTAATCACGTAAAATCGTAAAAGTAAATGCGACAAAACGAATATTAGAAAAGCAAATAGTGTTATTCGATATTACTTCGTATACCTTAAATAATATTTTAAGTAGGCATAATTAATAACTAAATCGAAGTCTTCAAGTGCACGATAAACATATAATTCTTTAAAATTATATGTTTATAATTATATTTAAAATTACATATTATATTTAAGTACACATACTGACATCAAATGGTATTACATCAATATTTTCAATTTTCTTCCATAGAATCGTGAGAATATGTCTGTGTTTAAAATTTAAAAAGCGCATCTTTTCAGTCGCGTGTCGCACAAATAGTTTGTGATTCACTAGAATTAAAAATGATTTATTTTTTCTGACACACGTAAAACTGCCGTTACTGTTGCCGTTCTAGGTCTAAAAGTGTTCTTTCCGATTGTACGCTTTGGAACCAAAATACCTCTTCAATGTCTGTGTAATTTCAATTTTGTTTTTAATATTATATATCCCAGAAAAAAATTGTTTGTGAATTGGGCATATTTTTATATGGAAATACCAATTTGCAAAGTTGAGGAAACTGCAAATGGAGCCTGAATTAGTTTCTAGTATTCGATGGTCGTTATTTACTTTTGATTTTATTTGATTTACTTATCGATTTGATTACCTACTAGGAAAGAGTCACCAATAAACTAGGAATGAATAAGATTCAACAAATAATTAAAAACTACAAATATAGTATGTATACAGCCGGTCGGAATGATGAGAACATGCGTGTTTGGCCACTAAAGACCCATCTTACCATCTTAAGTCCTAGGTACAAAATGTTTTTAAAAAATTGTTATGAGTTGCATCCTCAAGGAATTTCGGTTTAACAATTGCAAAAAATAAAAGATGAAAGATGATGAAATGAAAAATATTTCCCAAATTGTTTTTGTGTACATATCATTGGAAGGTATGCGGATAGCCAATATTAATGTTTTTTTTATAAACCTTTCTTAATGAAATGTAGGTGGCTCTATTACCGTTTATCCGAGAACATATAAGAATGCATTTTAAAAATAAATGACGTTCGATTCGACGGCGTCACTGAAACTTCAGGAATGCGGTTTATATCTGTTACTTCATAACAAATCTATAACAATAGTTATCCCTGAACATCGAACAAAAGAATGCAAAATTCTTACATGCACTTGTAGACCGCGCATGACTGAATGTGGCGATATCTACACGCGAGAAAATCTGGAATGATTTTAAAAAATAATACCGGGAATCATAAATTTGTCGTCGCTCGACAATACTCAGTAGTGATGGGTATAATCGGATGATATCATTCGATTGATACTTTGGTCTGCAGACGTTGCCAAAAGATCTTGAGGAAATGGTCCGACTTATTTTTGCACTAGGTTATGATACGGAT